GAGGATCTACTCAGAGAAGATAGCGTATCTTGTGCATGTTTTCTAAGAAGCTGCAGCAAAAGACGACCTAATGAAAAAACTGCAAGGAAATTCATATAGCAATTATTGTATAATGATGCACCAGATACGATATGTGTGTCCAGCACCTTACGCAAGATTACATAGTCTGAGCAGGCTACAAAGCCTTGAAGATTAGAACATACAGAAGAACGCTGATCGCGCATACTGAATATGCAAATATCTCAATGCTGTTACAAGGCTCTTTAGTTCTTCTGTTCTGGACCAAAATGATTGTACCACCCGTGACATTTCTTCTTTAGGAGAAAGGGGAATTTTAAGACATTACAAGCAATTCCAAAAGTTTTGCTTCAACCGGCAAAGCTACTGATGGCAGCTGCCAGAGATATGTCCAAAGCATGGATGTCTTACACTCCGGCATAATTAGAAGTGTATTAAGCGAGATCTTTTCAACCCTGTCGTCGTCGCGCTTGAAATTTTCAAGCTAGAAGTATTTACGTGCGTCACGTCTCTTTACGAGAGTTACACTGATGAGGAGTGGTTGAACACTAGATGTCGCGAATGTTCACACCGACTAGCCCGGCGAGTTATAAACAATTGAAGTTCTTGCCCACCAGTAACGAAAGCAAATAAAGGGGTCTTCGCTCAAAAGCTTCGCCGACATGCCAGGAGACCCTTTCCCGATGCATTTGCAGTTTAAAATAAATATGTATTGACACTTGTCATCAATTTGTCGATGCATAAAAGTTGAAATAATGCGTTGCTATATGCTTTGGAATTCTTAGAATTCTACCAAACAAATTTTTTGACTAGGATGAGGCAACCTGAGTCCCAGCATAGCAGCGCAAATATCGGCAGACTTTAAACAAAGCCAAAATATAAAATATGAAAATAATCGATTTCTTTCGCACAGAACGTTAAGACTACTTTCCTCAGATCTTAGACAAAGCCAAAATATAAAATATGAAAATAAGCGATTTCTTCCGCACAGAACAAAAACGTGCCACAATTTGTTGACATTTTATGGGATTTAGATCGTAATTCTTTAATTTGTGACCCTGCCATACTAGTTTTTCTAATTAAATTTTTGAGTTCACGGCGGGAAAAACAAAACGTAACAGTCCGTTGAGCCCACATCGCAGATTTATGATAGCAAAGTATATGCAGGTTGTTTACCTTTAAATTTCATGAGGAGATGGCAGGGTTCTTGATTTGACAGCCAGGCGTATGCAATTGCCTAGTTAAGTTTGGTTAGCTCACTATTATTTCTGACATTGAGATCGATTTTACATTGTTGAAAGATGCGGGTGCTTGATAAATTAGGGGTCGCTCAGACTATCTCGTGCATTCATCGCAGAGGATTGGTATGCATCGTCATATAGCCGTCTGCCCCCATCGTGCATCCGTGGATGGGATCAATCAAGGGGGAAAATCAGTAGAGTTTCACTTACGTGGACTGAACAAGAGTTGGTGCAACAGCAAATATTGCTCAAAAATGTGATGATCCATTCCGAAAACGTTGCTGGAACAGCTCATGATCGATAGGATCCTTGGCTACTCTGCCCATCTGATGATGAGTGGGCTCCCTACAATTTTGAGCTTAAATCGCGCTTCAAGTGCAATACGTCTATTCAGTCTTGCACAGCTGAAAATCTCTCATAGGATCATAAAAAGTACAAAAGCTTTCAAATAATATTAGATATGTTGGTGTGTACTTAATGTTGCATCACTAGTTATAGCTTCTATTAAATTATTATTTTACTGTCAAACAAATGACGCGAGTTTTGTGAATTAGCTTTTTCATTCTGTGGAGATTTAAAAGGGGTAACTTTATCTACAGCCTTTGCTCTCATGCCGTATTTAAGATTTCCTGCTTAGGAGATGCTACCTAATTACATTGCTCTGCTGCTCTGTTTTCACGATATCTAATCTATCTGACGGGTTATGTGTCAATCAATGTCTGCATCTATGTATGGCCATAGAACTGCGTAGATATAGTTTCCAAAGACTGGCTTTGAATAAATTGCAGCAACCAGAAGTTTAAGGGTCTGATGCTGCCTCTAAAACTTTGTCGAAAACCAAATTCCAGTGCACTTCAGACTGGGATGAGCACGACATCTGTTTCAAGCATGGATTAGAAATCAACGGAAACGAGATATCAAAACAAAATATGCAGAGTAAACTCCCGTTGGAATCAGTAAATAATTTCTTAAAACGGGTCCAGATTGTCTATATTAGAGCAGGATTTCGCTCACTATAGATTACTAGCACACTGTTACGATCCATAGTCCGAAATTTGTCAAGATTTGTACAATTTTCAAAGGTTGCAAGACTGCATGAATGTTCTTGATTAAGCCAAAAAGTACGGCAATATATCAAAAGTTCTTCTACTTTGTCGACTGCACTATTTTATGATGCTCAGATTACTAGAAACTCTTCACTATCATTAAAATCAAATTATTGCCAGAATCAGAAACCTATAGCCTGCTGCAAAGCGCTGCTGCATGCGCAGCATTTTAATATTCCAGATGATGACGCCAAGTTTGGCACGTCAGAATGTAAGATCTGCCAGCAATTTCGCAATTCTAGTCGCTTCTTGATATGCTAATAAAGAACTTCTCGAATACTGTACAAATTGTCGAACCGTATGAATGGAATGACAACTTCTAATACGCTCGGTATCTATGCTTGATAATGTAGAATCATCTGATCCAATGTCATGTACAGGAGACAATGATGCACCATCGGAATGCCAACTTCATCAATTTCTTTATTATTCATTTCACCGTCTGCCACGCATAACTTGATCATGGTTTCTGTCATTTGTGGACTCGTCACCGCCGCGGTCGTCGTCTCGTTCGCAAGTCCTTCTACCGGCACGACCTATTCCGTGCCTCAAGGAGTATATTTCAAGCCTTCAGACGGTTCGGGCTTTGCCAATACAACATCTTGGCGCCGTAGTCCCTGCCCTGCCCTCAACACGCTCGCCAACTTCGGCTTCGTCGAGCGCAACGGGGTAGATATCCCCAAATCATTTCTTAAAAACGCTATCCAAACACACTTTAATGTGGCCGATGATCTCATTTCCGTGATGCTGTCAATCCTGCCTGATTTCGTAACACTCAACACACTGTCTCGCCTTGAACACCAGATCTCGCTATCTCGACCCCCGACTTATTATGGCCACGACCCAGCTGCAGTCAATACGACGCTGGTCAAAAGCCTGTTATTGCGAGCTAAAAACGGGTTTTTGGATGCAGAAGGGGTCGGTAAGGCCTACAAGGCTCGTCTTACCGAGTATCAAAGTGACCCACGTTTCAGTGTGACTGACAGTCACTTGACTCAAGCGTTCACGGAAGGATCGTTTTTGCTTTTGATTTTCGGCGCTAATCGTGATGATCGCATTTCTGTGGAAGATGCTCGATCCTTCCTCGTCGATGAAAAGTTTCCAGACAATTGGAAACCTTCACCTACTCCAGTCACACTTGGAGAAGCACGAGCCATAGCCAAAGACATTCGAGGCTTTGCGACGTAAATCCTGCTGTCGATTTGTCCCGTGAGTGTGCTACAATGATATGCTCACTCAAAAGTGGGCTAAATGATGATATAAATTTTAGGTCCTTACTAAATTTGTTCTAAATTTCATATATCCCCCTACATAAGTGTTTTTGTCTGGAATAAATGCAGCAATGACTTATCTGACTGTCTATGTTCGTGGAGAACAAACTTAAAAATATAGATGATCCCTTCCGCTTGGAATGGCAGTAAAACAAAATAGAAATAAACACAGTAATTAATCGATCGTGATATAAGCTACCGGAACCCATACGCTAGGATGAAGCTTTCTTTAGCGCAGGATGCAGGTTGGCAGAGCTGTTAGGTGTACTTGCTCGTCCGCTTTAGTGACCAATCTCCGGCTGCCTTTGTTCCGGTCCTAGGGTATCGAATTAGGAACCTTTCGGTTCCAGGTCAAATAACTAACCATTTGAGCCCAGGGTCGGTGACTCACATCTTGAGCCGTTGAATAATTCGGATACCGAAGTCGAGATCTATGTAATGTTTTTGAATACATTAACGTGTCTATCGCTGCACTATGCTAGACTTTACGCTCGATCAAACATCAAGACGAATGCGCGATCTCTCAGTTGCGCATGGTGGGCATGGTGATCTGGACTCAAAAGGCGATTGATAAGTTGGTATCGCTGTATGCCACTAAATGTCAATGTAATTGCGAGATTAAGGTCAATGGGTATACATATATTCAGCACAACGATAGCGTGCAAGTTGCATTTTTTGAGTCCTTACGACCTTGACCAAACGGTTTTTTGAAATAATTTTCCTTGTAAAGTCATCGGCACAGCGCACAAATGGCAATTTCCACGACACCCGCATGTACGCTGTCGATCAGTAGCGTTTGTCTTCATCATCGGCGCCAGCGCGACGCGGAAGCTAGTGACTCGTCAATCATTCAATTTATGATATCGAACACACTCAATCTTGTGCTTATTCCATCGTCGCGGTATAAGACATTAGCACCTGCCCTTTCCAAACAACACCAACGCCTTAAGCGGATGAGTAAATTAACCCGGGTGCATTACTCAAAGTCAAGTAGTAATCAAGCTCTTCCATATTCGATGTCGCCCACTACACTCTTGATGTAATATCTCGTTGGAATATGCTTGCTCTTCCTCACTTTAATGTTCTCGACGTCATTGACTAATATTTCTCGATTTCTTTCGCCGATGTAACTCATTCGCAGCTACATCACCATAGCAACGCACTGGGAGTCCACATGAGCTAAAATGAGAGGAGTCATTAGTTTGAATAGATCTAGGTTATCAAGAGGCGACGCTGTCTCAAAGTAGTAGTAGATCCAACGTTGGACCGATCACGATTTGCGTCTGGAACTTAACGTCCGTGGAGTTGCAAAATAGTGATCGTTCATTTATTAAAATACATCAAATCTTCGAAATTCGTCCAATTTGAATAATATCATGACTGACGTAGAAATGAAGGCAATGGAGGAGCCGGCATTTGAGGGAATCTCAAGCCGCAATCGCTCGACTGAGTCGTGGCCATGGGTAGAGAAATACCGTCCATCATCTTTAAATGATCTTATTGCCCATCAGGATATTATAGCGACACTCAACCGCCTGATTGATGCACATAAGCTTCCCCACTTGCTGTTTTATGGACCTCCGGGAACAGGCAAGACGTCCATGATCATTGCAGCAGCGCGACGACTTTACGGCAAAAACTACAGTTCGATGGTGCAGGAGCTTAACGCGTCGGATGACCGTGGCATTGATGTGGTACGCAATCAGATCAAGGAGTTCGCCGGCACCAAAAAGCTATTTAGTCAGGGTGTCAAACTTATCATACTCGACGAGGCCGATTCCATGACAAATGATGCGCAGTTTTCGTTGCGCCGCGTTATTGAAAAATACACTAAAAATGCACGTTTCTGCCTCATCTGCAATTACGTGAGTAAGATTATTCCAGCACTGCAATCGCGATGCACGCGCTTCCGCTTTGCTCCGTTAAATGAGAATCAAGTAAGTGATCGAGTCAAACACATTGCCGAACTTGAGAAGTACGTTTTTACAGCTATTGATTGTGTTATAAATTATCTTTATAATTGATATGAAGCTGTGCTGATGCATCAGGCTGAACATGACCGAGGACGGTTTTAAGGCCATTCTGCGTCTAGGCCAGGGCGACATGCGCCGTATCCTCAATATCTTGCAGGCGACGTCTATGGCCCATGACGTTATTAATGAGGCTAATGTGTATTTGTGCACGGGCAATCCGTTGCCCCAAGACATTGAGTTGGTAACTCGTTGGCTTTTTAACGAAAGCTTTACAACAGCTGTGCGCAAGTGTGCCGAGATGCAAAAGATCAAAGGGTATGCAACCAGCGATATCTTGCAGGATGTATATCGTTACACCATGGAATTGGACCTGCCGCCGCAGTGCCGTATGTATTTATATGACGAGCTAGCTAACGTCGAGCACCGGCTGTCTAATGGCACAACTGAGGGACTACAGCTGACCTCACTTGTTGCCATTTTTGCGATTGCGCGCGATCAGATGTCCCTCGCCATTGCTTCTTCGTCTGGAGCCTAGAGTTGTTGTAGTAGAACAAGCAAATATAGGGGATGAATTGAATAAGTTTTATGCATTCTGAGTGTATTGGAGCAGCTCGCTGTACACCGGGCATTAATATCAGCAGAGAAACGGCGAATTGTGACCATGATATTTTCACGAGTGTTATATTTCTCAGCGCCATCTCTTGCCTCCTTTATTTTTCCTTTGCCTGCTCTACTTCTCAAGCGCCATCACCTTACCAATGGCAATTGTTTTTCCCTCGTCACGAAGAGTAAGACGCCCAAGCTGTGGCATAGTAGCAAACGTCTCGATTGAGATGCTCTGCTCCACTTCAATTCGACAAATAACCGATTGGCCCTGCTTGATGAAGGTCACGTGCTTCTTCACCGGCTTGCCCGTCTTTGGGTCAATAGGTCGCAATAATTTGGCAACCACGCACTCTTGGGAGACGGTATGAATATGGAGAACGCATTTATAACCAGCCGTTAGCAACGGGCGGTGCTCCAGTGTGTCAACCAATGCAATCTGGGCTGCGAATGCATGTATCGCGCGAGGAGGAGACTCTTCATGAATGCCGCATAGGACAAAACCCTTTTGGACGTCATCAAGGCCGCTGGATAGACGCATTGTAACATTTTCACCAGGCTTTGCCGTACGAACAGGTTGATCATTAATGTATACTTGATGCACAACAGCCGTAGCGTTTGTAGGCATAAGTAGCACCTTTTGACCAGTCTTGAGGGTACCGGACTCTACTTTGCCCATAGCAATAGTGCCACGCTCAGCGTAACGGTCCAAAATCGGCACACGTAAGGGGCCATCTGGATTACGGTTTCCGATGTGCAAGGTGTCCATGTGGTTGATAAGCGAATCCCCCTCATACCACGGAGCCTTGGCCTTATCTACGCGCACTTTAACATTGTCGCCGTGTAACCCAGAAACGGGGATGAAGAAAACATCACGTTTGACAGCAAAGCCACACATTCGTAAATACGGCCGAAGCTTTGTAATACATTCGTCAAATCGTTCTAGACTCCAATCGCATTCGTCCATCTTGTTAATCACAACAATGAGCTTGTTAATGCCCAATGTCTTAGCCAACATGGCGTGCTCTCTTGTCTGTCCTCCACGCTCAAATCCTGTTTCGAACTCACCTTTACGAGCCGAAATCACGAGTAAACCGACATCAGCCTGCGACGCACCCTGAATCATATTAGGCACGTAACTTTTATGTCCAGGAGCATCTAGAATGGTAAAGCGACGAGTTTCCGTCTCGAAATGAGCGCGCCCAACCTCGACAGTTTTTCCTTTCGCACGCTCTTCTTCACCCGTGTCCATAATGTAAGCCAGAAACCAACTGTCGCGGTTGCGTTGCTTGGCTTCCCGTTCATAGCGCTCAATAGTACGTTTATCTACCATATCCATAAGATAAAGCAAGTTGCCGGACAGTGTAGACTTTCCAGCATCGACGTGGCCAATAAGCACAACATTTAGATGTTCACGCGGATCCTCGTCACCGACCTCCACATCTTCACTAAACGCATCATCCTCATCAGCTACCTCATCATCTGGCGTGTCTTCAGATTTAAACTTATCGTCTTTTACGTCTTCCTTGGGCTCCAACGCCTTTGGTTCTTTCTTTGGTTCTTCCTTTGGCTTTTCCTCTAAGGTCAAAGTATTTATCTCATCCGCAGGAGGTGATACCGGAAGTGTAGACGTGACACCTAGCACAGCAGCGCCACCTTTCTTTGGAACTGGCATTGCGACATCAAACGCTCGGGGTGGAGCAGGTGCTGGGGGCGGCGGCACGAAGGACGCAGGTGGCGTCCAGGTGGCAGCGCCGGGGTTGAACGAAAATTCCTTGGCTGTTGCACTTAGTGCCTTCTTGGCTGATAAGACGACATTGAGTCGCAAGTTAAACAAGTGTTGAAAGTATCAAGAAAAACACAAGAAGAACGATCACGTACGGGTGTTGGTGCCGTCCATTCTTGATATTGTTCATTTATCACTACTTCAGAAAAAGCATCATAATCGGTTTGCACAGGGGTCTGCGATTTAATGGTGAAGCAAGACCGTCATTTCAAAAACATGACCTCGACGAAAGCTCACGAATTATTACCGTACAAAGCCGAGGAATTCCGCAAGCAGGAATACTGGGACCATTTTTTTCAGAAACGTGGCGAAAAGGCGTTTGAATGGTATGGAGATTATAACTCACTGCGTTCCGCGCTGCAGTTTGTGCTAAACCTTCCCGATAAAGCGCCGCCATCTTTGTTACGTCGACTTAAGGCTAAATTGCGCGTGCTGGTTGTGGGCTGTGGTAACTCGGCGCTTAGTGCAGATCTAGCGGCTGATGGTTTTTCGAATTTATGCAGTGTGGACTTTAGTGAGCTTGTTATCAACGAAATGCGGCGCAAACATCCTTTACTTCAGTGGCAGGTGATGGACATGACAGATATGCGCACACTGGAGGACGCTAGCTTCGATTTAGTCATGGATAAGGGTGCCCTTGATGCTTTAATGGCCGAAAATACGGCTGAGATTAAACAAGACGCCAACAAGATGCTACGAGAAGTACGACGTGTGCTCGCTCCGGGCGGCCATTACTGTTGTGTCACCATGGCACAAGACTTCATTCTACACCACGTTCTCAGTTTTTTTAGCATGAAAGATGAAACAGAGACAGAGCCGACGCACTGGAGCGTAGGCGTACAGGAACTTCCGCATGATAGGCGCAAACCATTTGTTCCATTTCTTGTAGCGGCGCTTAAGTGTTCAAAGTCAGATCAAAAGACAGCGAAAAAAGCGCAGTATGACGCTAAGCAATTTGTCAGTGAAGTTGGCGAGGTACGTCTACAGTGGCTAACGCACGAGGTGGAAGCCACGCAATGGTTTGCTATGAAACAGATGGCGCTACGTCAGCTAGAGGTCGGACGACAGGAGACGATTGAACTTATTGCCAATAAGGTAGACGCGACCAATAAGATAGGTCAAACGATCAGCTCGCATAGTCAAGTCAATCCACGTTTCACATTGCGTTTAGTCGATGTCTATATGCGCGGACCAAATGGCAGCTGTGCAGTGTTTTTAATTCCGCAAGGTCGTGAGCATGAGTGGATGTTTTCGACGGAGGAGGGAGCGAACGAACTTGCTGCTGGAGCTGGATTCAGTCGCCTTATTATTGTCGCACTTGGCCGTAATGGTCACGACTTTGAGAGCACTGCCAAGGTGCAGGAAGAGCTCAATGCTAAGGTGATGGAATTGGCTCCTGACACACTAAGCCCGGATGAGATGATTCCGTATCTGACGCTAGAAGAAGGTCTTGGTTCGCGGAACATTATACACCGGGGTGCATCATCACTCAGCGGTGCATTTTTCGTGGAGGAGACTGCGGAAAACGGCGAAACGCTGCGTCGTCTAGTATTTCTCTCCAATACTAATGTTATACAAAGTGAGGTGAAAGTATTGCCTTGTGATAGTACTGCATCTGCCGCTGCTGCCAAGTTGGCTCCGTCTGAGTCTTCCGCAGTTGATAATTCTATCGACATGACATTCGAAAAGAATGCAGCTGAACCAAGCATGAACAAGAAGAAAAGATCGAAGAAAAAAAAGAAAGCGCAGGCCAAAGTGGCTGGCGTGGACACTTCTTTCTTGGCGTTTGAGTATCATAAGGGCATGGTTGCATCGCTGCACGCGGCTTCATTGTCTTCCAGATTATCAATCGAAACTCCGCACCACAGTTTGGTGCTTGGTCTTGGTGGTGGCTGTCTGGCACAATACTTGCATGATAATATCCCAGGTATGCATGTGACGGCATGTGAGTTGGATCCAACGATTGTAACAGTGGCAAAGCAATACTTTGGATTCAAGCAAGACCAGCGAATGCGCGTAGTTGTGGCTGATGCACTGAAATACGTAGCAGAGCAAACTATGAATGCAAAGAAGCCGATTTTCAATTCTATCATTGTGGATGTGGATGCCAAACAGCGCGATGTAGGCATGAGTTGTCCGCCGGTAAGCTTCGTGGAAGAGACATTTCTGACTCAAGCTCACAGCTTGCTCGCCCCCCGTGGTGTGCTCCTTATCAATGTTTCCTGTCGAGACAGCAGTTTGTACAAGAGTATCATCGCGCGACTGCGTCGTGTCTTTTCAGGCTCGCGTGCCGTGCTGCAATTAAAGCCGAGCGAGCAAGATGTGAATAGCGTGGTTTTTATTCGTAAGGCTGACTCAAACGAGCCCAATGCAACGACGCTATTGCAACAGCTGCATGGATATGGTCGCCAGCGTGATCAGACGCAGAGTGCACTACAGTATGTTGACGATGAGCTGTGCGAACTTATTCAAGGCATTCAAATTATCAAGTAGACTGCATAATCTAACGCATACGTAGATGCTTTCTGCCATCTGCCCTTCCTGTAATCAATTCTAGAGCTATTTATCCCATGAACCCGGGTATCGAGCAGCCTCATCTTCCCACTTCGCCCGGAAAGTGTCAAAGCGATACAAATTACGCTCACGCCTTGATATCTTAAGGTCAGGAGCAAGCGAGAAGCTGTCAACGCTTGCTTCAGAACTGCGAGTGAATGACACATTTTGCTTTCTGTAGCCACCACGACTTGAAGCAACCTTCGATGATTCCACGTCGTAAATTTGAACAGTGCACCAAAGAACACACAAAGCCAGAACATTTCCCTGGCGACGATCTTGAGAGATCCCAACGACCTTCGCTGCGATGTTGCGTTCCCCGACGACCTCGGCGCCTCCAGTAGAGCTACAGACAGAATAGTCTGAGGCTTGCGCCAAATTCAAATTCGATTTTAAGGAACGATCAGCATCGTTGTTGCGACGCATGAGGCGTTCGCAGAAGAGTACTGTATCACCAAGTACTATGTCTCCTTCCTCTGGACCGCATTCGATAGTGAAGTAGTCGGCAGCTCCTGATGGCCGTTTCACCAACCGGGCACGACGCTGTGCACATTCCTTACTGACAGTGCAAAGTTGCGAGATTGTCGACTGCGCGCTCGAAATACCGCTGCTGTTCAGTGCAAACACACGTACTTGATATACCGTCTCAGGCTGCAGCTCACGGATATATGCCAGGGGTTCGCGGCCTTCATATGCTCGACGCCATTCACTTGCATTTTCATTGAAAGTAACAGCTTGTTTAGTCAGGCACTCAATGCGTTTGCAGTCCACGATATATCGTGTTGCTCCACCAGGACCTGGATGCCAGCAAACCAGTGCTTTGTCAAAGCCCACCTCCACTCTCCCAACACACGTTGGGACGCTAGGAGCAGTACAAATTGTTAGTGCTTCACTAAGTGCGCTTGATGCATGAGCTCCCACGACTCGAAGGCGAAAACGATAACGAGTGTTAGGTTCCAGTCCATTGACGGTAGTTATTGACTCAGATCCACGGTAGCACACAAGGCGCATTTCGTCTGCATTCGTGGTACCTGTTGCTTGTACTTCTTGGTCCCGACAACCAGCGTCACGTTTTAATACGTAGTGCACCTCAGATTGTGTCCACCAACGCGCAAATTCGGAAAATGAGATCTTGCCATCGGAATCGAGGTCAAAGGCTGCGAGATATGCAGCGAGTCGTTCTGGTGTCGGTGGTACACCCAGCTCGCTCAAAAGTGTTTGAAATTCGGGAAGTTCGAGATATCCGCTGCCATCAACATCATAGCGATCAAAGCGAACCTTAAAGTCAACAGCACCATCATCCAAACTCGTTTCTTGGGCCCACTCCTTAAGCAATCGAGAGATTTCACCATCAGTTCCATCGGACACCCGCAAGGCCGCAGAAGATAAGCTTGGCAATGCCTTAGCCACTGACCAACGCAGCTGCAAACACTCACTTTGCACTGCTGGCTCAGAAGATGCCGTATTGACTGTCGGTGAAGCTGGAGTTGGTAACAGTGTATTGACGATAACAGGTTCACTGTGCAGACTAGCGCGACCCTCTGCATTGATCGCCTGTACACGGAATTGATAAGTCGATCCACTGTGCAGTCCCAATACCTCAAACCTGGGTGTAGTACCGCGATAGATCTCAATATATTCCTGTGTGGACTCGTTGAGGCATTGTTTGAGAATGTATCGACACTTCGAAGCTGCTCTGCTGCTACTTTTTGTAGTTTTTTTTATGGCATGAGATGACTTTGAGCCACTGAGCAAACCACGATGTCTTGTCGAGGACCTTGAAGAACTTGTGGAAATTTGGGAGCTCTGTGATGCTGTATCACTAAGATCTAGAACTTCATGAAAGAACCGAAGAAATTCGTCCCATGAAATGCTTTCGTTATCGTCCGTTTCGATAGCATCAAATACACTCAGTCGTGCTGCATTATTATCAGTTGCGGTCGCTCCAGCGGTAGCCTGCTGGAGAAAAGCGACAAGCTTTGGTTTACGGCGTTCAATTTCTTCCATAAACTCGTCACGTGATATTCGACCATTACCGTCGGCATCAGCCTCTCGAAAGACTACTTCCAACTCTCGCAGTCGCCGTGCATAGTATGACGAAGTTTCCCAAGCGAGTTTTACACTGTGAGGGGCGATCGCGATGGGCAGGGGTTCAGCAGGTCTTGCTGGAGCTGTTACGAAGTATGAGAAAGCATAAGCACCAGCCCCGAAGCCATTTAGTGCACGAACACGGATAGCATATTTGGTGTTTGGCATCAAACCGATCAAAGTAAAGTTACAACGAGGGAGACCATCGTTGTCGGAATAATCTTTCGGATCGCGACAAATCTCGTGGTATTTATTCAGTCGAAATGTTGTTGATCCCTCGGCCCCTGCAGATTCAAGCTGGTAAAAAGCTGGCGGTCCACCATCCCCCGATTCTGGCATCCTCCACCGCAAACGTAGCATTGTGGTCATATCCAATGTGTCATCATCGTCATCCCTTTCGAGCACAGGGATACTTGGTGGTTGCCCAGAGGTCACCAACTCACGCAAAACGTGCTGTTCTCGAGGCGCTGCAGACCACAGCTCCAACTTTTTTAGGTATGGTGCGGCTTGTGTATCATCCCACTCTGCGAAGGCGCAGCGTCGGGGAGCTACACGCTGGACAACAACCATATCACTTTCAGGTGAGCAATTAAATCTGCCCCCATAATTTTCACGTCGACACACATGTCCAGGTAGCTCTGCTCGACGCCGATGATTGGAACCTTCTGTGCCGAGTACGAGTTGGAAAGCATTTAGCATGCCACATTCGTGGCACACAGTCTCCCACATACAAACCGATCTCAGCAACTGATCCGTATTTCCGCGGCATGATGCGTGACGTTCATCGCCCACAACAGCGAGGAATGACTCAAGTGATATACGAATTGCCCCACTTGATGCTTGGACCTCTTCAGGATCTGCAAAGAACTCTACGACCCGCTGCGTTTCCTCGGGCTGCAAAATAACACCAACACTTCGAACCAAGGCAGTTAGCTCGCGCCCAGTTACTGATCCGTACTGTTGGATCAGCTTGCTGTCATCCAAATCTTCATCAAGCTCGTCGCCGTCTTTGTCAACGGCATCTCCACGAGCTAAAGCCTTTTTGTGTCGCTTTAAACACAAGTCAACACAGGCCTGTCGATATTTAATGCCTGATGGACGACAATGTAGCAGCTTCAGAAATACGTTTCGCAATGGTGAAGATGTACAATGGACGTCACAACTAATTGGAGTAAAACTATCCCAGAATGCTCGACAGCGTCCAGCACTGCGATAGCCGCGACTCCATCGTACCCACGTATCTAAAAGAGTGCGGTCCACTGCTTTAAGTGCTTTCCCGACTGCTTCCCAACGCACCGCCGCTGGCGTCGCAGAAGCACCTAAATCTAACTTCTTATCGAAATCGCCTTCGCAGTTGGTATTATGATCGCTTACGGGGTCATCTTCTGCCCCTTCGCGTGGCGATGGAAGATGCTTCATATAATTAACTGCTTTGTCTCGCATTGCCTTATGTGCTACCCAAGCTGCGTAATTTTCACGACTCTGCTCTCGTCGACGGCGGTCTGCTTCAGCTTTCTTACGCAAAACGGGGTTGTTGCGGCGTTCAAAAAGATAGCGGTCTTCGGAAGTCGGTTTAGCAGAATCTTCGTCATTTTCTTCTATGCCTTGGTCAAAATTCTCGCGTAGCACATGACCCTGCTGAACAAGAACTTGTTTGCTCTTTTCCAAGTCGCCTCCACGACCTTGAAACCCTTCACTCATTGCATGTACGTACTTAAGACCGCTATTCTGCATGAGCTCAGCAGTAGAGCCAGGTGGACGGCAAGGCTTGGTATGACGCACTACACCAGCGCCCATGGAAAAGTCAAAACGAGGTGGTGGAACATGTCGAGAAGATCGGCCGTCTTCATTTACCTCCGCAATCGGCATCCGAATACGAAGGCGGTCCTTACGGCGTACCCAAGCATTGTGCGCCACAAGTCCTCCCTCTACCTTCTCACGAGCTTCTTCCTGGCGCGCATTCTCCACAGCTTCTGCATCTTCTTGTATCCATTGCAACATACGCCGCACGCCTAGACGGTTTAGTGCCGCCATCTCAACATCTGAAACAGATTTACCAGAGTTTTGTGCATCTCCTGTTGCAGCCAGCGTCTTCTGAAGGTATTCAGCAACGCGAAGTTGAGCTTTTTGCCAATATTTCTTACAAAGTCGAAGGAACAAAGCGTTTTGTCTCTTCTGATCGGTCGTAAGCGCCCGACGAGCAGCTATCTTGGCAGTGTCTCCTTTCTGCGGCTTGACCGCCGCGTGCCATTTAAGCGTCATGTAGTATGTCATGATGCCGTCTTCGTTTTTTTCTTGATCCATCATCTGTCGCGTACCTGCTGAGAAAGAATTCGCTTCGAATTCGGTGAGGGGCACGCGCGAGAACGTGTGATTTTTCGAGCTCCATTTTAACCAGAGATCTCCAAGTGAGCGAACGGGGCATGTGCAAGGGTGTTGTAATTTCACCCCTTCTGTAGATTCCAGTACGCTGCACTGCGCCAGGACAGTTTGGGCCATTCGATAGGCTGCTGTTGTGATGCGAATGCTAGTACCATCCTTCAAACTAAGGCTTTGGCCTTCACCTGTGCGAGCAAGTTTTTCTGCAAGGGCTAATATGGTTGGTGTACTATTAAGAGCCTCGCTTACGATCCCTTCGTAGGGTTCCAGCACTGCGATCATTTTTGGAGTTAATTCTCCTGGCTTTGTACCTATGCAGCGTCTGCAAAGAGAGCATTTCCGCGCTGAACATTGACAACGCGTGCGCTGTCTGACTACAGAATGTGCAGGCTTACGACACACGCCTGGACAGTCACACACTGACGTCTTTCCTGTCTTTAGTTGACAATCAGTCGCTGCAAGCGCCACCGCTACCTCTAACCAGGACTCCTCAGCAGCAGCCCGACTTGGATCCAGCTGATTCAATGCTTTTGCCATACGTTCATACTTGTCCTTTCGTGCTACCCACACGTCAAATTGCATCTTGTGTCCCTGAAATTTGCTACAACTAGCATCTTTGGTATCATATGACTCTATTGCGTCTCGTTCCGATTTGGTTCCGGCCTTTGCTGTAGTACTTTCAAGCAAATTATCTTCATCACCGAATGCATTGCGCTCATACAAATCGTCGATGCAATCATCTTGCGTTGTTAAAACTGGTGGCCTCAGTGTCTGTATACTACCTTGTAGTCTTAAATTCTTGGCCGCCATGCTTGATGCATTTAAATAAAAAAAGACGCAGCGGTCGATAGAAGTGCTTCAATGGACACGCCGGCCGTAATTGAAACGTCTTGCGTGAGACCTACCGGAAATAGGGTTTACTGACGCCTCGACTTACAAATTTACAACTATACTTATAATCGTAGCAATGTCATTCACCGTCTAAGCCTATCTCATCGTCGCGACTGCTGCAGCTTTCCTCGTCCGTGCATACTCCCATTTCGCCTTGAAAAAGGATTTCACATATGCGTTCGTCTATGACCCACTCATCCTCGTACACAGGAAGCGCCATGAAGAAGCCAATGACTTCCATAAGGTCCAGCTCGTCATCGTCGGGTCCCATCCAATTACAGATGTCGGCTAGTACCTCATCATCGAAACGAAAGGAGCGACAATTCTCGCCAAAATCTCTTCTATTCCTTTCTGTTTGGCCCGTTATAATGTCATTCTGCTCCTCTTTCGTTTGCTGGTGGTGGTGTTGCATTTCCTCTGTCCTATCAGCATCCGTTCCTTCATTGTATGATTGCTGTTGATCCTCGTAGTAACTTCTGGGATAGGCATGCTCACATGTCATTTCAAAGTTCAGCAGCTCTCGTGGAGTTGTACAGTTGGCTTCAAAAGCCACAGTGACTGTAAAGGAGATCGAAGTCTCCCATTCATCTTCCTCGTCTTCCTTCTCCTTTCTAGTTCGCTCAAACCTATACATTGTTAACATCGCTGTCTTCTTTGTAGCCTCTAGTGTCGTCATTTTTTTTCGCTTTTTTACATTTCGGATGTGGCTTTGGGGTTGAAGCGTCCATCGCACGTCTGTGGTCATCACAACGTTGCGCTGAACGTCGTAGTTACAGCTATAACTTTCCACAGTCAGATTTTCGGCCAGCATATTATACAACTGCGACTGCATTGTAGAACCTTGAATTATATCTGTAGATACTGGATGTTTGGTGAGATGCTCACGCATACGTGTGGTCTCGAAGGCCAGCTTAGCTTGACTACTAAGGGCCCGTAGCACATCCAGACGCAGCGCCAAATCGCCACTTTCAAATTGGTCAACAATGCGCTCAATGGCAGCATCTACATCAGCTGCAATGCTGCTACCGCGACGATCATAAACTCCATTTGACATTGTCAGTTAGTGCTCTGTGATCTATTTGACTGGAGCAGACCTATTATAGCCAACACAAAATGCAGGTTTATGTCAAAAAGCTCTATGCAGATAAATAATTGCAGAACGCTGTCACCAATAAAACCGAAGAGCTCAAGAGTAGCGCAATGAACGCTGATTACACCATGGATGACACATGTGCTATCGATACAAAACAGTATGCTCAGCAAATTTCTACTAGTGAATATAATCGCCAAGCTGTAGAATTCACCACGCAGGAGGTTGAGCGCCTGAATGCCGCCGTTCGTGCACAGCCAAAGCTCGGTGCTCGCTCCGAATTTTTTCAGGACGAAGAGAATGTTGTGAAAGGGCTTCCGGTCTTTCAAGGCAAGCACATACGATTTTTATACGATGAAGAAGAAATCGTGGCAGCAGTAGACGTGACGCTAGAGGCGCTGAACAATGGACCCGTGGTGCGCACCGTCGCAGAGTTGGACGAAAACGTGGATAATGAGGAAGAAGAGGAGTATGATGAAGATTATAATGAGGAGCAAGACCACGATGATGTAGTGCGAAATACGTTTTACAGAAAAGATAAGGAAAGTGACATCGATATGAGCAACGAGCATATACACACTTTAGTACAGGACGTGGAAATGGAGTTGGCTTCTTTGGCTTTCCACGAGCAGGACCAATTGAGTCCTAGACGCAGTAAAAGATAGTCGTTTTGTAAAATATGCATTTGAATGGTAACACGATGAAGATATGAACGTTTATGGCTTGTGCATGTCATTCTACGTTGTGTCAAGCGCTAATTAGAATACTTTAAACTTAGAAAGAAACCCATTTTTTTGGGATGAGTTTCCAGCCTTTTCAGCCCTCAGCCGATCCTTAAGCGTCTTGGCCTGCAGTTGCTGCAAAAACGCTTTGTGATCTTGCCGAAGTACAAGCATCGTATTTTCCTTAATTGGATCAAACATGGATTTAATTGGGCAGCCGAGACGCAGTTGAACGGATTTGCGATCCAAATTTGTGCACGATACTTCAAAAGGGGAGCTGGGCGCGATAAAATAAAGATACAAATTCCAGGCAAAATCCTTAAGGTCGTCTGCCTTCATTTCCAGCGCCATCTCTTCAAATCGCCGAATTTGGCGTGCGCACTTTAGATTCTCAGATTTAAATTCTAGTGAAATACAATTTCAGTTAGTTAAGAAAAACGTCCCTGCACAACAATTGGCACTCACTTTTTCCAAGAAAGTCAAGCATTTCACGAAAAAGGATTTTGTCATCTAAAATTTCGTCTAGCGAGAAATTGCCTTTCGCGATCTTTTCGTCCGTAAGTGTCGTTACTTTCGGCAAATCAATCTGGTACGAATTGTCCGAATCAAGCACCTTCTTTACAATCAATTCGTGGACAGCCAAAACTTTCGAAGCCATTTCTGTGTACTGCTGTGCCTTGAGAAATCGCATAAGTGTGTCTTTTTGCAAAGTCTTTATTGCATCTTGCATTGCGACATCAAAGAGCTTGCCGCGATACTCACCCGGACGGTTCATGCGCTCCTGAGTCTGTTCACGATCATCAGATGGCAAACTCACCTCATTGGGAGAGTTAAGCGACAAAAAATCGGCCCAAATCTGATCAGCCATCTCTTTACACGACTGCACTGATTCTGGGTCACGAAAGTCAAGCAAACCGCACTCGTCTTTAAACTTGTCGACAGCCATAAAAAAGTTCAAATTTTCTGCGCAGTACTACACCATTTTTAGTCAACAACCCATACGACTCTCAAAACTCGTTCACTTCGTACTTGTTTTTGGCAGAAGTCAAGTAGATAGCCACATGATATAGGGTTTGAAATGATGTCGTCAATATCAATGTCACGTTTATCCTTTTCACCCTTTTCCAGCACCTTTACAAGCGTGTCGATCTCATTGTTGCCCTTTTTCGACATTTTTCGCTTGATGAAGGAGCGACAAAGAGGGCAAACTTTATAACTTCACCAATAGGCGCTGTAACAGGCGAAGAAGCGAGAGTGGCAGCGTTGGCAGACACTTAAATCTAGTTATTTTCGGAGTATCGCAGTCCGGCATCGACCAATTTAGCTGCACAGGGCCACAGGAAAACCATCGACCGGGATCCTTTTTTCTTAGTAATTCTCTGTAACGTTTTATCTATCAAACTTCTTTACCCGAAGTATTTGTAGAGCGTGCCATAATTAGAATATTTTTCGAATTTATGCGTCCGCATGTCAGTTCTTAATCCGTAATGCCCATTGTGCCTAATAGAACAAAGACAGTGGTAAAAGTGCTCTAATATTTTGATATGAGCTTTCAAACAAGTTGCTTACTAACTACCGATATAATTTCTTTCCATACGTGATTAGCATTTTACATCGTTGACTGTTGCTGGCGATCACAATCCGAAAACGAGAAGCTTGAATATATAATCATGTAAGTGGCTATCAATGTAAAACTATCGCTAACATTCAACCTATACTTTTGAGATTTAAGCACCAAATCAAACCGTAGCTGCGATTTTTTCAATAGAAAATTCGAAAGCTTAATTGCAAACAATGATTGTGCGGTAGTAGGTACCTAATGTGAAGTATGTCGCTTAGAAAGTGTTGTGGTGCAGCTTTAGAGCAGTATGGCGTACTTGGGATCAATGCTATCGTTAAGACCGCAAAATTCAAATTTATCGTGAGCATATTAAAGAGGACACCATAAGCATATACGTGCGTAATTGATGCCAGTTAGCATGCCAATAGATACTAGCCATTACCGAAATCGGATCATCAACAAGTGGCCTACAAACAAATCATGACCTGACGAGAAATCTTTAAATGAGCTACACGATCCATCAATGAGTTCTTTGACTTCTGCGTTTAGCTTGTCCGATGCCCCCGATGCCTCACTAGGGACACCTTCGGCTACAGCAGATGCCCACTCACCCATCGCTATTTTAGTATTTAGGAATTGGTTCTGCAGCAATTCAAAGCCATGAAATGTCGATTCGCGAGTGGAGCTTACTTTTGCCGGGACGATAGCGTCGAGGAGCCTTTGTCCTTGACGTTGTCGATAGTGGTTTGTAGAATCACGCACAAGCTAGTCATACTCTTGTGCGGACTTGCCAGGGATGTTCCATCGACTGCTTGGCAGCATCAACAACAGAGTATTCTCCTCCTTGCGGATGTATTCGGCTGACTTCTCGAATTCATCAACTAACGCTCTGGCTCGGTCCATTGCATTCAAGAAGTAAGACGTGGAAGTCTCTTTTGTGGACTTATTTAATTTATCGTAGTCAGAGAATTTGGGTAGATTGACATCTCGTGCGGATCCATTTCATGTAGCTCGGAGTACTCCTCGCCGGTGTTCTTGTCGGAGATGGCCATAAATGGATTAGTGGTGAAGTCCTGAGATTTCTTGGTCCCTTCAAATGAGATGTTAGAATGGTAACATAGTCATGTGGTAAGACGGTAAGACTGCAATACATCAGTGGCGTGGTTTAAATTTTTAAAATTTTGATGGATGCATTAAAACGCTTATTTAGTCACTAGAAACACTTTGCTTTAGTAGATGAGACTTCATACTAATTCCGAAGCTAGCCATGCTTGACTAAAAAAAATCTCAGAGACACTATTATCGTCGTTATCCCCAGTGGTGGGTCAACCAATACGACGGCGATCCAACGGAAGAGGAAGTTAAGTAATTAAGATCAGGCATTTAAAGGCCTTGTGAGTTCCTGACAGTGAATTTTCTGAGACAAAACACCCAAAGAGTGTGGCAGCAGGGATGTATGTCTAAATGTATATGAATATCTGCAAGTACGATGCCTGATGTATGTACATTATTTGGTGGTTATGTGCGTGACGGT